AACAGAGAACAAAGAAGAGGAAAGTCTACTATGAAACTGTTATAACCGCGTAAGCTAAAAACTGTGATTTTGCTAACCCCTAACAACTGGAAAATATACGACATTTGACCAGGAACTGTTATAAGTTTCGAACGTCAGTGAATTCCCATCAAACGTTAATATCTCTCCAAGAATATTACTATTTTCTCGTCGGACATTAGTGATTTTGTGAAAATATTGTCTTACTTCAATGCTCCAACAATTCAGTGCCTGACAAAGCTAGCTAGCTTCCCGCCAATTATATGTACGTACAACTTACAACTCGCTGGATATCAAGGAGACTGTGAACTAGAAAGACGAGTTTACGTTATTTGTAAGTTAGTGAAATTTGTGTTTATGAAACTTGGTTTGTAATAATTAATCATAATAGTTGCTATTGTAAATTATACTATTGTATATATAAATATTAAAACGTATTTGTTTCAAAACAAAAACGGTGTGAATCAATCTTGTTGGAAAATAGCGTAAATTAAATAAAATATCGGCATATTTCTAAACACTAAGTCCAGAGTACAGTTCAACTATTAAAAGTTAAATTATTTAATGCGGCTTTGGATTATTTCAAATTCTCAATAAGTAACATAATAAATTGGGGCCCGTCCGGGATCTGAACCTGGGACCTCTCGCACCCAAAGTGAAAATCATACCCCTAGACAACCTTGATAATCCGACATGATCAAATCTTGTTTGCACTGATCGATATAAATTCAATTATGATTTAAATTATAACTCACATCGAATTTTGTCTCTGATTCAGAACCCTGACGAGCCATACAGAAATATGCCCACAATAACTCGATTTCTAGTAGTGGTAAGCATAGTGCGGCATGTCGTAGCAGGTGAGAATCTACGAACACAAAGGTCAGTGACAAAAGCCATTTACGTTTTTCAACAACAGTACGCAACATAATCAAGAAGGATCTCTCTGTGTAAATGAGGCCAATAACGGGTATTGGTTCAGACGAATGAGGCATACCTCCCATTCAACCGTCGCATACCTAAAGTAGCTGGAGAATGAAAACACGAATACTTATTGGTCAAATGTCTGGATGCAACTCCTATGGATGTCTAAGCTATTGCATTGTTGAAACATGCGCTGGGGAACCGTCCTCCTCATTCACTAGGTGGATTATGGGAAAATTTAGAGAGTGGGGGACGGCATTAGAAATGGCAGTCTTACGGCAGAGCCTTTTGCAATAGAAACTACGCGAAACGGCTGTTATCAAGATGCACGGTTGTCAGACAGAGCATAACTGGACGTGGTGAGATGGACTGTAACAATTTACACTGAAAAATTGTCCTGTCTCTACATTAAACTTCTAAAATGTGCATCGTAATGCATCGTTCTAACAGTTATTCAATATTAAAGTTTAGTCATATACTTAAAATACATACTCAGTAAGATACCAAAGTTTACCTCTTGAACTAGTTATCATTATATTAAAACAATTTTAAACCCTGTGAATTTTTGACCTAGTAAAACACTTATAGTTTTTTGCATGTGTGTGCTTAAAAAATTGTTTATAGTAAATATCCTGAATACGCAATCACTATTATAGGTCGTAAACGTATCACTGTTCTTTTTTGTTTACTTTTTATGTGTTTATCAGTCATTATATATCTCGTTGGTGTTCATATAAGTGTTCTTTGACACTTTATTCCATTATATGAAGTACAAAAGAAGAAATAAAGTGTCTATACGCTGATGATTGGTTTCATTAAACGTCTAATCTGCTTTTCGGGCTCCAGACGGCTATTGTAAGCAAGACAGAAACAGTTCGCTATCATTCTTCATTCTTATATTGATGTTCTGCTATGATAATTAATCACCCACGTGCAATAGACTAATCCTAGAAAAGAGACTGTAAATTATCACTCCCGTCTCTTTCAGAAGAGACACAAAAACATTCGAATCGGGTTTTTTTTTTTCGTCTCTTCTTAGATGTTTCTGATTGGATTCGATTTTGTTTTACTATTGTAGCTTTCAGTGAATATTTTTCCGAATTATATCATTACCTTAAAGACGTTTTAAAATTCATAGAGGTTACTCTACAAAAATATAACCCCCCCCCCAAAAAAAAAATTATCTTCAGGAATAAAATGACGGTGGGAACAACAAAAAATTTGTGTAATAATAAGTTTCAAAATTCCATGGATTCCAGAATTTTTCAGGAACTAAGAAAAGTGACATGTTCAATGATTTTTTTTACCACAATATCTTCAGAAAATCAAAAACAAATAAATGCCTGTTGTTAGGTCTTGATAGGTCTTTATATGTGGTGTGTTGAAATGATTTTTTAGTTATATAAAAAATATTTATTTGGTTTATTAAATTATTGTTTATAAATAGCCATTTAATTAAGTACAATTATCGTTAATTTAAATGCTTAATATTTGAAATAGTTTAAAAAGTGTTTCGATGGTATAATATATTAGATAAGTGTTGTTTTAAAAAATTAACAGTCGCAGCAGAAAAAGAAATCATATTCAAGTTAAAAAAGATGAATCATGAAAAGAAATAAACGTGCAAGCAACACCTGTTGTTTAAGTGCGTTTTTTCATCAGTTTGTTTGGAATTAAGCACAAAGCTACACAATGGGCTATCTGTGCTCTGGCCACCACGGGTGTCGAATCTCGGTTTTTAGCGTTGTAAATCCGCAGATATACCGCTGTGCCACTGGGAGGCCTTTTCATCGGTATCCTTCTTTCGTTTCTAAATCCCTATAGCAACACATAATACATATTGCTTCTTTCTAATTCAATTGGAAACTATTCATAACAAAAGTTTTCTATACAGCTTCACTATTATAGATAAACGTATTCTATTAATTAATACTACTAAATTATTACACATTGTAAGTGCAGTTAAGGAATCTATATAAAATAAAAGAATATTAATGATGGGGAATCATAGGTACATAATGTTTATTTCACTAGTTATAATTTTCATACGTTTACACTTGAGATGTATGCTATGGAAACAATAAAAGTTTTGAAGCGTAGAAAGAATTGACTTGAGAATAATATTGTATTCAATAACTTTCTTCTTTGGTTAACAGTAATGAGTTCGGAGAGAGCTTGACTTGCTACTTCCACTAATACCTAATATACTTTAGAAATAGCTCTAGCCTGTCTCAGAAGCAACACTAAACGAATCAAAGAACAACAACAGCCAACCCCAGAAACAGCACTAGACTACTTCAGGAACAGCATTAAAACGTTTCTAACTTATCCCAAAAGCAATACTATAATCCCCCCCTCATCCCTAGATAGAGCGATAAGTTATGTGGGCTAAACTAAACTAGCTAAGGAAGAACACAAACTTTCTAAAAGCAAATTATTGAATGTTCAGTTAGTGTCTTGCATGTGATGCTTAGGATATAAGGCTAGGTTGTCTTCATTTGTTTTGTAAGAAGTCTGTTGAAAATCAATAGGTAGGCAGAAAGCGATATATACATATATATGTGTAATCCTAATAAATTTTGTAATGAAAGCTTCTTCAAGACTGTGGTAATCTCAAAGCAAAGTTTCATACTCAGAAATCCCTGTTGCGCAATTTTTTAATGAAATTTAGTTCTATTTATCACTTTTTTTTCAAACTATTTTCATGATACGATACATATGTCTACCGATGTAACAAATCATATTTTGCTTTCTGCTGCAGTCTGATAATAAATAATACACTTGGTTATAACACACTTTAACAAATAAATATATGTTAAACCTTTGCAAAAAATTTAAATAAATGCCAACCCTATGTCTATTGTCGTTTATTATAAATTTTTCAAATTAAACTTGTAGCCAATTCTGACAGGAAAATCATATATGAATTTTGAACGTTTATGCAAACTAGTTCATTTACGATTGTAGTTTACAAACCATATAAGCATGGAACAAACTAGTGCCATCTGTTCACTACTCTGAATACTAATGCAAAACAAAACAAATTCAGATAATGAATAGGAATATATGTCACAATTAATACTTATTAATGATGTCTCGTATGCTTTATACTGCATCAGTATTTTCAATTGGGATTAGACAAAAAATAAACAAATATTTGTAGATAATTTTTCCTATTTTAAATCCAATTCTTTGGTTAAAAACTTTGGATTTCTTTCATGACACTGTTAAAATTATTCCCATCCAAATTATACTTATAAATGAAATTATAATAACCCACAGGCATTAAAAGCATAACTTGGATGTGAATAACCTTAACAGTGTTATGAAAGAAAGGGATCTTGAATTAATGGGTGATCAGTCTCTTAAGCCATCTAAAATTTGTATAAATCTCCCCATATACCCAACAAAACTTTATACCAAATTTGGTGAAGATCCATCAACGGGGGGTGAAGTAGTGGTAAAATAATGCAAAAACACCCATGAAAACCGCTAAACGCAACTGAAAATGTGTATGCATCTCCCCATGGACCCAATGAGCCTCCATTATAAATTTGATGAAGATCCATCTACAGAAAGTGAGGTAGTGGTAAAATATGTCAATAAAAACTGCAAAACTGAAAATTTGTATGTATCCCCGCATGGACCTAATGAATCTCCATACAAATGTTGGTGAAGATCCATCTAGACTCTGCGAAGTAGTTACATGGACATACAACAGACAGTACTATTATATCTATATAGATACACAAACCACTAAATTTGCCGTGGTTCATGTATTACAACATATAAGCATTTTCATACATTAGATGAGCTATTATTAATCTGTGATTTTAATGGCAATTCAATGAGCATAATTTATCAATATATACCATAAATTACTAATAGTTATGTAATAACAAAGATAGCGCCATCAGTGGCAGAGTGGCTACACAAGGAGGTAAACAGGTTTCCGAAGTTGGTGGGTAGATAAATTACACTATACTAACTTAATATAATTTTACTATAATAACTCTAAAAATTAGTTGTAAGCAAGTTATTGAAAGATTTTCTTTCGCAGTAAGGTTTGACTTCATGTAATTGAAATATGTTATTGTTTTTACCAGATTATTGACATATTCAAACTCAAACTGTCGGTGTATTGTACGTACATCATATAAATTAATTCATATACATGTGTTCAACGGATAATTGTGCTTTATAGAATTTATAGTTTTAATATAGGCATCACTCTCACTCGCTTTGGATTTTAGTTTTACAATATAACAATAAGCCGTAACTACAGTATGTTTAAATTAGTTGTTAGTCATTGTAATCAAGGCTTGGAAACAGCTTTAAAATTACGGTCTTTCTTTTTTTCTTTTTTTTTTATTAGTGAGTAAATAATAAAACAAAGGTTGGTATACTATAACAATTTAATTATGAATTTAAAAGTTTAGTGGAACTGGAAATTACAAAATGTGGAACTCCAGTATTCACATTCAATGAATAATTCAGTCAATTACAAAGCTTCATTAGTCTGAATTACCGTTTTCCCATAGCTTGTAGCCAGTTTTTGTCCTGTGTGGCTTTTTGTTTAATCAAGATACTAAGAAATATGTTCTGGCTAGGGCTCCTATTCTAATAAGACGACACAGTTTATAATACTGTAGAACCCTGATGCTGATATTCTATCAGTTGTGCAATTGCCACTAGTATTAAAACTCAAGTTCCAGATTACAACCCTCATCCTGATCTTTAATGGCATGGTAAAATCACTTGATTAAGTGTTCTTCTCAAGCCTACACCACATTCTTGTAGTGGTAATTTCAAATTGATATTTCTTGCATAACCTAGAATTGTTGTGCTGACAGTATAAAGTGTGCACACACATTTTCATGTAGTAAAGTACAGCCAAATATTTGCATTAAAGTTTTATTTACTCAATATGTCCCAAGATATCTACTTGAAAGCTACATGAAATTTTTTTGTACACTAAAATTTATGAGATTCAACAAGGTTTATGAAAAATGTCTAAAAATTTTTACACAAGTGCAAAAGACTTCAAGAATGCAATAAGTACTACAGGCCATTATTATGTATATGTTTTATTTATTGTTTATATTTGTTAATAAAAAAGTAAAAATTAGTAACTTCTTATCTTAGTTCAACAAGACTTCATTAAAATAAAATGACTAAAATTGCACAAGCTTAAGCACTGTAAAACATTACACTCAGCTATCACATTGTGTTTACACTATGGTTATGGGAAACAGGTAATGACCTCTCACATTTATTGTTTTTCACGTGAGGATTACAGCAATAAATCCATAAAATTAAAAGGAAACGGATGTAGAAAAACTATTAATTTTGGAGGTACCAGAAGTTATGTAAATGAAGTATGAAAACTATAAAATGGAGATAAGTATTTTTAATCTTAGCATTAAAATTACCTTTTATCCAGGCTTTGGAAAGTCAAAAACAAATTTTTAGTAAAAGCTTTATTAAATTTTTTGGTGTACAACAGACTTTTAGAGTTTGCTAAAAACTTGCTGAATTTAATGAAATCACCCACAGTAAATTCAGAATTACAATAAACATTAATATTTGTAGCTTTACAGATTTGAGGATGGTCAATTCAACTAAGCTCATGAATAGATTGTTAATTGAAAGTAAATTTTTATCTATATGTAATTTTTTTTCTTATAAAGTATGTTTATCTGTGTATCAATAGTTAAGAGTGAACAGGTGTCAGGTAATTACTGTCTTATGTGGTTTTTCCTAGTAGAAAGGCTGTAGATAATATATAATTTACTGAACACAAATTCACTCCAATCCTAGAAAAGTACAGTAAAACATTTGGTATTTGGGAATAATAACTTGTCATGAGTCTAGAGCTGAGAAATTAACTCATTTGATCAGCTAATCAAAATTAGTGTTTTCAATTATACCAACTATCCAAATATTACCATTATTATTACTTCTTATTTTTGGTTTACTCCAGGTTTTTTCCTTAATCGCTTAGTGTCATGACTCATGAAAATATTCAACTAATCAAAATAAGTGTTTTTTTATCAATAATTAATACTATTTTCAGTTATTCCAACTATCCAAGTGTCATGTGAAAATAATAATTTAACTAAATGTAAGTTGTTGGTGAGCCTAACAATTAATTGATTATCATATTCCACTGATCATCCATCTAGATGATACTAGATTACCTCTTTGCAGAAATTAAAATGATTCATAAGTTAGCAATGATAGTTTTATGAAAATATTAAAAACACTGCAATAAAAAAAATCTTTAGTTACCAATGTTTCAGAATTTTCTAATTCCATCATCAGCTTGAAAAACTTAAGAAATAGTTAATAACTTTATAATTATAAAAAAACATTATAAACTTTTAAGTGAGAAGTTGCTGATACAGATTGAAGTTTAGAAAGAACACATTAAAATTATTAATATGTTTAGATATTTACAGTACAGGCTGGAAGAAGACGTCATAGAAACACATGCACGCTGAGAAATCAACATGTTAAAGAACTTTCTGCACTAAGCTGCATTTAAGCAGCATAACACAACAACCAGATTTTTCTTTTCCCTTTTCAGTGCTTCCTATATAGTTAGAGCTAGTTGTAACTTAACAGGAGCCCGGTTTGTGTGATTAGATTAAAGACTTATTCAAGTTACATATTACTAGACCGTTATTAGTCCATTTCAGGTAAATTTTAACAAACAGTTAAACGAGTAAGCTATATAGCAACTACATTTTCCATGAATGAACTTAGAATAGTAAATATTAGCTTACTTTAACATTTTTTTATGAAAGTGATATTATGTATGAGGAGGAAGCTGACTTTCAATCCACAAAAAGGAAAGACCTATACAAACATAGTTGAACGTGATAGTTATAAATTAAAAGACATATATAGTTTTAAAGGTTATTATATAATACAATATGATATCATTATTTAATTTTGCCTTACTTCTTTTTTTTTATTTATATATTTACCTGAATTTATTTATTGTAAAATGTATAACTTGGATATATAAATACATAACATTTATCACATAGAAATTGTTAAGTATAGTAATATACACTGTAAAATAAGAGTTCTGATGCTCATCCACATGAAAGGCTAATTGATTTAACAGTGTATAGTTTTATATCTCTACCATACTGTTAGAAGATGGATGAAGGGTTGTTGTCCTGGTCTTTTTCATTCCAGAGATCAAGGCATCTCTGCAGACAAGGTTAATTTCAAGTTTTGTCCCAGATCTGAGTAAAGTTCCATAGGCATGCTTAATCTTGAAACAAATTTGTTGACAAATTTCCTTGCTAGTTTTTGTTTCCTGGTTAAGAACAATGTATGCTTCTGGCTCTTAGGTGAAATAGTCCATCACAACCATGATATATTATTCCTACAGTTACAAGCACATTAATAACAAGTGCTCCAATACAATAATACATTTGTTTCTTTCATGGGCCTTTTCACTTACAGCATAGTTCACACATTTTGCACTAATTCTCTGTAAATCCCTGACATCCAGCCCAATAAAAGTATTCTATTACTCACTCCATAGTTTTTTTAACAACTAAGTATCCAGTTGTTGGATGGTTATGAAAATCATGAAGTGTATCAGAATGTAGAGACTGTGGAAGTGCCACCGGCATCTTCTCATTCCAACATATCAAACCCTCTTTAGGCATAATTAATCCCACTGCATGGTAAATCTTTGTCTACAGGCTATATAGAGTGACTGTTTGGTTCAAGAGTTTTTCTGCATTATTTTTGATCCACTGAATAATTGGTTTCAAACATGTACCTTTTTGCCTGAGAAGCTTTCATTTGAGTATTGAACTACATTAGTACTTCATTGCTTTTAGGTATCACATCTTGAATTATGGATCATACTTTGTTGAACTTTAGGTTGGTCATCTTTACTATCTTGTGCTTCCATCTTTTCAAAGTGTTTACATTCCTCATTAACACATGGTCTTAGTAATAATGTGTGAGCATTTTCATGTTTCCGGCCAGGATGATTTATGATGCTAAAGTTGTACTCTTGGAGTTGTCAGAGCCATTTTGCTATTTGGTCTTCTGAATTGCAAAAATTTACCAGCTACCTCAATGTTTCATGATGTGTCAGGATTATAAACTTTTGTCCATATAGATAATGATGGAAATGACTTGGAGCTCAAACACCACTTAGTAGCTCTTTCCGAGTTGTATAATATCTTCTTTCTGCAGCATTCATTGCCTTATTATAATAGGCAATTGCATGTTCTTTCCCATGCTGTACTTTTGATAACATTGCTCCTACTGCAAAATTACTAGTACCTGTAATGAATGGATCTTTAAGAGTTGGGTATGCTAATACTAATAGCAGTCAATTCCTTCTTTAGCTTATTAAATGCTTTTTCACAATCATCAGTCCAACAAAACATATTTGGTTTTTCAAGTAACTTATGTAGAGGATAAGCCCAAATGATGGTAGTAAGAGCACAGTCCAAAAATCATCTTATCTCAAACAGGTTCTTTGGTGTTGGCCAATTCTAGACAGAGTCCATCTTCAGTGGGCTTGTAGACACTCCCTCTTTTCTGATAATGTGTCCTGGAAAAATCACCTAATAATAGAATAAGTCACTTTTCTAAGGATCCAGAACTTTCATTAACCCATCATAAGCATTAACACAGGTCTTCCCATGTGCAATTATATGTTTATGACATTCCAGGGTAGTTCAGAGAGTGAGAGCAGGTGCATTACATAATCCAAATTGTAGCACAACATATTGCCACAATCTATTCCTGCAGTAAAGGTTGTGTTCTCTCTACTTACTTCATCAAATTGCACTTGCCAATATCCACTCTTAAAATACAGTGTTGAAAACAATTTTCATTCAGAGAGAGCAATCAAAGTAGAGTTGATCCTTGGGAGTGTGTAGGCATCCTTCTTTGTGACTCCATTTATTTTCTTGT